CACCAACACAACTATGAACCAAAACCCCTCTATGTGGCTACAGCTACATGAATCCCATTCTACCATTCCACCCAGTTCATTGGGAAATGTACTTTAGCTTTAATAATGAGGTTCGCATCTATCTATCAAATAAATCAATAAATAAATAATGAAGTTTGTCTCTTTCAATAAGCAAATTCTTGTCTCTCCCCTTTTTTACCCTGTAAAGAATTCTTCCATGGAAACATGAAATCTCTCTGTTCAAATACTAATTTGGTCGATAGAAGAAAATTGGCACAGGAAGAGGGGGTCTGATGGGTATATCTTTCCACCAAGAGTCTCATTGCATTGCACTTGCCCCTTTAGAAGCCTGAAAATGAAAAAAAAAAAGAAAAAAAAAGCTAAGGATCTGACACTAATGCCCTTTCTCCTTTCCACCTAAAAGAAAAACCATATAAAATTGTTTCGCTAGTCCCAACTTCCCAACATCCTGCATCCTGCTAACCACATCAATATGTTTTGGCTGATACATATCACCATATCAGATTTAGAGGTTACCAAAGTGTGTCACAAGTGTCCATTCCACCTATATCCATTGTATCAGCCAATATGGACCAATACCACAAATGTATCGGCCGATCGTATAGATTTGAATTTGTTAATGTTATTTATTTATTCATTCTAATAAAATATCTTCTTAAAAGACAGATAAAATTATAAAATCATTATGTTTTGTATAGAAATTAAGAATTTAAGACTTTAACATAGACTTGTTTGGATTTGCCTTGAGGGGCGTGGTACAAAGGTGGCTCGTAGAATATTAGGAATGCAATATATTTTACATCACATTAGCTAATTAATGTAATGCAAGTGAAGAGAAAATGAGATTGTGGGGTTTTACATGCTTGAAAATATTTTATATGTTTAATTTTATTTTTAAATTTTCATTTGAATATGCTTTAGATGTTATGTTTATGTATTTTAATTTAGATAATAGGTTTTTTAAAACATTTATTTTAAAATTTAAGTTTATATTTTTATTAATATTAACAATTTTTTGCATTTTTTGAAATTTTAACATTTTTTAAAATTTTCTATTTTTTTGGATTTTTTTTTGTATTTTTGTGCCTTACTTCAAAAAGGTGTGCACATCACCTTGCACCTTGCCTAGGGTGCAACTTGCCCCTTGTGTTTTTTTTGTACTTTGCGCTTTTAAAACATTGGTTAAATGTTATATATTTATAAAAATTAATAATAATTATACTGATTTTCTAAGAATTAACACATACAAGCAAGTCTTAGTTATGCTATCATTTTTCAACATTTCCCAATTATTTCCCAACATATCCATTATAGTTGTCAAGGCGACTAGGCGGTTTCAAACTTCACCTTGCCAAAGTTTGTATACGGCACACGCCTAGGCAACTAGACAGGCGCTTAACTCCAAAGCACACGCCTAGACTAGATGCAAGACACACTAATACATCCCTTAATACATTGATCCTTTAATATTTTTATATTGTTTTTTACTTTTCTTTTGCTCAAATAGTTTTTATTGGTTAGTTTTTGTTATTACAATAGAACCTATCACACATTATCACTCTTTTTGTTAGAAGAAGAGTGCTGTCATTTTAGGATTTTATTTTCATGGCAAAACTGAATAGAAGAGGGACTGCTGTCCGGTCAGGTTTGTTTCACACAGTCCAACTCCAACTGTTGTTGCATAACCAACTAGAAGTCTAAACAACTTCGAATATGCCAGGTAGTCAAATGAATCATCTTCTTTTTCTCAGTTTTCAGTCCGTCTATTCTTCCTCCTACCCTCTTCGTTTTCAGCCTTTTTTTTTTCTTCCTTTTTGTTGGTTCTTTCTGTTCTTTTGTCTTTTCCATACGTTTTTTGCATATTTTTTTGGAATCAAGCAGGGGCTCCGCCCCCTTCGTTTCTTCTTCATTTTCCTGCTAACTTTTCACCCTTTTGGTCTTATTCATTTACTTGCACTTTTTCCTCCTCGATGGTAATCTGGAACAGGGGTTTCGCCCCCTTTTCTTCTTCATTTCTCTAAGTTTCTTCATCATTTTTTCCTCTTCACTGGTGATCTGAAACAGGGGCTCTGACCCTTCTTTTCATTTTCTTCTTTTATTTAGTGTTTCCCTAGTTTTTCTTGGTCTAAAACAGCAGTGGAGCCCCTTGTTCTTTTTCTTTTTTTGGTCTAAAGCAGGGCTCTACCTCCCTGTTTTCTCCTTAAGTTCTTTTTCTTTTCTTGGTCAAACACAGGGGCTACGCCCTCTTAAGTTCTTTTAAATCCGAATTTCTATTTCTAATATGCTGTGTTGCATGCTTAAGCATGACTACAAGAATCATAAGCAAAAAATTTAGTTTAGAGGTTTGTAGGTTAATGTATAAAACCAAGTAACTAGCTCATGAGGGGTAAAAACACGTAGGCTTACTATTTTCTGATTTCATCGCCTAGGCACTTGGTCGCCCCTTGGTCGCCTAGCCTCACCTTAGCGCCTTGAAAACTATGGTATCTATTGTATAGATGCATATCTTAATTTTTCCGCCATATCTATGTGCATCTGAAGTATATCCTGATACATCTCATAAAATCACCTTGCAGATACTCCTTGTGTTTCCAATATTTTGAACATTTTTTTTTTGACGAATACCAATATTTTGAACCTTGGTTAATGACCAATCCTTGATCTGTGTTGACACAGGTACTACTAGCGTTGTATGGTCAGACATGGTCAACTGAGGGATCCTACATGCTAGAAGAGCACATCCCAGCTTGTAATATGTTATTTCGGAAGCTACCAAGTTGGGCCTTAACATAACAATACAATAACTAGTGATAATTAAAACACCATTGCTGTCACATAGAAATGGCCTCTAGGGGTGGCCACGAGCCTAGCCTTCCACAAGCTATTCGAGCTCGACTCGGTTTAAACCGAGCTTCGAACCAAATTTGAGCCCAATATATAGGCTTGTTTGCTAATGGAGCCGAGCTTGAGCCCAATGAAGCTTGGCTCGTGAGGCTTGCGAGCCTAGTATTAAATAAATAATTTTTATTACACATACATACAATAAATAATTTTATTATATATAATAATGTTTTTATTTTTATGTATAATAGTAAATAATTTTTATAATTATTTTTGTATATATAATATTAATTAATTTTTATAATTCTTAATTTTTTGTTTGAAAAATAAAAAAAAAAACAATTTTATACATATAATTTTTATTTTTCAAAAAAACTTGGCTTATAGTCGAGCTTGAGCCGAGCCGAGCCGAGCTTGAACTTGCGAGCTATGAACTGAGCTGAGCTCGAGCTTAAGTCTCTGGCTCGAATCAAGCTTAAGCTCGATCTCGAGCTTGTTACTATTCCTGTGAGCCGAGCTCAAATAGCCAAGTATTCGGCTTGGCTCGGCTCGAATCCACCCCTAATGGCCTCTGGTGTAACCGTTTTTGGTCACGTACCATTTTTTGTGATGTATAAATTTTTTTGGCTAAGTACCTCGTTATTTGACCCGGTGGTGACGTGCCTTGGTGATGAGCTACTTGGTGGCAAACTCCCTGGCGGAGAACTACTTGGTGGCAAACTCCCTGGTGGAGAACTGCCCGGTGG